CGGGCCCATCCATCAGCCGGGCCGGGCCCTGCTGCACCGTGGGTGGCACGTGGTGCCGGCACGGGCAGGAGCCTGGCACCAGTGGCTGGTGCCTGTGTGCTGAGGGGCAGCGCATCTGGTCCCAGGGGTGGGGGTTTGTCCTGCCCCACCAGCAACGGCACCGCTGGGGGTCTACAGCCCTCCACGGCTGCCACGATGGCTCCCAGCAGGGCGATGGTGCCGGGGGCCGCCGGTTGGGGTGCTGGGAAGCCACGGGCTGTGGGGCTGGGGCCATGGGGCTGGGGTCGTGGGGCGGGAGCAGCATGCTGTGACCCGCTGCAGGGGACGGCAGCGGTGGGGTGTGGGGTGCGGGGGCACCGCGCTGCCCCAGAGGAAGGACACGGGGAGCGGTGGGGGGGATGCGATTCGGGGCAGCGTGGTCTGAGTGCCGGGGAAGGGGAGGGGGCAGTGGGGGGCAGCAGCCCCTGTCCTGCCCTGCCCTTGCTCTGCTGCGTAGCTTCGCTGGCCCGGGCCGGCGCCTGACCTGCCAGCAGCTGCTCAGCTCGCCCCACTCCGTGGATCCGACTGCCCCGCGGCTGGGCGGGATGCGGGCACTGCACTGTGACCAGCCCCGGAGTGAGCCATCAGGGCCGCGGGGCTTGAGCCTGTGTTGGGCGTCACAGTGCCGCCGTCTCGGTGGGGGGGTGTGTGGGGGTCACCGGCCAGGCTGGACACCGGGGCTGTACTGCACCCCCTGTCTCGCTCCAGCACTGCTGGTTCTAGGGGTCCCTGCACTGGGTGACTGTGCCGGCAGGTGGGCGCTGGGCCCCGCAGTGCCTGGGCTGGGGCTGGCGCTGGCAGCCCCACGTTGGTGGTGCCGGGGCTGCCCCACGCCACGGCCCCACTGGTGCCTGTGCCAGGTGTCCTGGCTCTCGCGGCAGCTGTCTCCGGCTCTTGACACCCGGCCCCGGTTCCGGCACGCAGAGTAAACAAAGCTGGTTCCCAGCTGCCGGCCCTGCACCAGCTCTGCCGGCAGCCGCCACGTGGAGCTGCGCCGGCTTTGGCTTCCCAGTG